GAGGGGTATTGGAATCATTTGTACTTTCAAGCAAAGGTGACGCAGGTGATGCACTAGAAGAATCCATTTTGATGATATTAAGAAAAATAAAGACAAATGGAAAGTGTTACTTGATAAACAACATAGCACAAGCTTTAGTTTTGCAGCACTAACACCTGCAAAATAAACCAAGAACTCGTTAATAATTAAAGTTCAACACTAATACAGCAAGATGTTTGCAGTTATCTCAGACAAGCTAAATGTAGAAGAATCCACAAGTTATAAAAAAATTCATGAAAAAAAATCCATAAGACAAGCTTCCTTCCACCGTCCACACACAAAGGACAAGATATAATTTATATATATATTTCAAGAAAGAAAGATGGTTCTGACCAATTGAACTGTGAGAATTAACAGGAGTGTTGGTAATTTGGCAAGATTTTATACATAATCATAAGATAACAACATGGCTTTTTTCAAATAAAAGCCATAACAGAGACTTCAATTTACACACACAAGTAGAAATGTCCAGACGCAATCAACAAAACCAAATTAGATGAAAACAAGTATATATTAGATGAAGCCCTAGAAGAATCACAAGTATATATTAGATGAAAACAAAAGGTGTTACAAAATACCAAAAGCCTGCTACAATAGTCATCCACCAGTACAATATAGACGCAGGGGATTGCTTACCAGTAGTGGGTTCGTCAGCAAATATAACAGAGGGGCTTGCAATCAGTTCGCATGCCAGAGACAAACGTTTCTTTTCACCCCCACTAACTCCTCGGACTTTCGCATCACCAACAAACAATCGTATCAACACAACTGACCTTTTGCAGCAAAGAAAACAAAGCAGCAACCCCAAAATTAAAAACGAACTAAATAAGCTCATAATCACAATCCTATCATTTTCCAAAAGTATGACATCTTCAAAAATTATCAATTACCAACTCAGTAGATGAAAAAGGAGGAGACCAACCAACAAAATGCAACAGCTAAAAAATCATCAAAAACTTTACTTATAAAAGCAATCTCTCTGACCTAAAAGTCCACAATCACACTCCCTCAAACACTTCACAGGCTTTCAAAAAAATCAGCAAGACAGTTTCTACTCACTTAGCGCGAAGAACCATTCAAACATTGAGTAAATCGAAACTTTTCAGAAGCCAAATTTGAAATTAAAATTGGAAAATGTAACCAAAATTCAAATGGGTAGTGTGCAAAGAAACATACCATAGTTTGCATGTTCTCAAGGTTCCAACATGAAAGTTGCGAAGAGGTTAATGTAGCCAAAATTCAAATGGGTAGTGTGCAAAGAAACATACCATAGTTTGCATGTTCTCAAGGTTCCAACACGAAAGTTGCGAAGAGGTCGTCTTTCAGTGCTGCCCAATCAGTGAAGCACTGCAAATTTGTCAAAGATCTGAGGTTTTGTCAGTGAGAAGATGAAATCGAAAGAGAAAATTGAAAATATAAATATTTTGTGGGAAAACAAATAAGAGGGAAAATCTAAAAACCAAGAAATGTAAAGGTGAAGCACCTGGATTATTGGACTTGGATTATCGAATGAGGAGAGAGAGAGAGAGAGCCGAAGAGAACTGAAGAGGTTGAGAATCGAGATA